CCCCATAGACCCCCATAGACCCCCCATAGAACCCCATAGACCCCCATAGACCCCCCATAGACCCCCATAGACCCCCATAGACCCCCCATAGACCCCCATAGACCCCCCATAGACCCCCCATATCCCTCCCATAGACCCCCATATCCCCCCCATAGACCCCCATATCCCCCCCATAGACCCCCATATCCCCCCATAGACCCCCCATAGACCCCCATATCCCCCCATAGACCCCCCATATCCCCCCCATAGACCCCCCATAGACCCCCATAGACCCCCATATCCCCCCCATAGACCCCCATAGACCCCCATATCCCCCCCATAGCCCCCCCATAGCCCCCCATATCCCCCCCTATCCCGTACCGGTGCTCCGGGGGAAGTTGGGGATGTCTCCGTACTCGAAGCTCTGCGCCTGCTCCAGCTCCTCGGCCAAGGCCCCGAGGCCGGACCCGCACACGAGGCCCACGACCGGGGTCTGCTTCAAGCGGGCCCGGAGCCAGGCCGCGGCCTCAGCGCAGGCCTCGTAACTACGGGGGTAGGCCGCGTCAGTAGGCCTCAAACCGCACCCCCCCCACCCGCTGATTGGCCGAGCCCCCTCACTCCCCGCCTCTGATTGGCTGCCCGCACCCCTAAGTCCCGCCCCCCACCCGGCTTTACCTCGCCTCCATGGAGCCCCCCCCCTTCACAGTGAGCGGCGGCGGCGCCGCGCCGCGCGTTTATATTGCCCCGGCGGCGCGTGACGTCACCGCGCACGCCCAATGGGAGGCGCGTTGCTATGGGGACAGATGGGCGGGTTCAGCGGTCGCTTAGCAACGGCGGCGGGAGGGGGCGTAGAGGGGGAGTCACGTGTGAGCGCTAGGCCAATGGGAAGGCGCGGCGCGTCGCTTAGCAACCGTGGGGCGGGGAACGGAGGGGGTCACCCGAGGCGCGCTGGCCAATGGGAAGCGGAGGGGACTGTCGCTTAGCAACGGGGGTGGGGGAGCGCGCAGCCAATGGGAAGGCGCGGCGCGTTGCTAAGCAACGTTGCGGGGGGGTGAATGGAGGGGGTCACCCGAGGCGCGCTGGCCAATGGGAAGAGGAGGCGGTGGCCGCTGAGCAACGGGGGTGGGGAGCGCGCAGCCAATGGGAGGGCGAGCAGGGTTGCTATGGGAACCGGGGAGGGGAGAAAGGAGCCAATGGGAGGGCGCGGCGGTCGCTTAGCAACGGCGCTGTGGGGGGGGGGGGGGGGGGGGTATAAAGGAAGTCACGTGTGCGCGCTGGCCAATGGGAAGCGGAGGTGGCGGTCGCTTAGCGACGGGGGTGGGGAGCGCGCAGCCAATGGGAAGCAGCGACGCGTTGCTTAGCAACGGGGCGGGGTGGGAAGGAGGCGGCGGAGCGGAGCCAATGGGAAGCCGCGGCGGTTGCTTAGCGACGCGGGTGGGGGAAACGGGGGCGTCACGTGAGGCGCGCTGGCCAATGGGAAGCGGAAGGAGCCGGGAGGGGCGGGGGAGGGGGGGCGGTCGCTTAGCAACGGAGGAAGGGTAAAGAGGAAAAGGGGGGGGCCGGGTGTCACGTGTGTCGCGCCGGCCAATGGGAGCGCGGGGCGCGGAGGGGACGGTGGGGGGGGAAGGGTCACGTGACGGGGACGGCCCAATCAGAGGCCGAGGGGCGTGGCCGCGCGGCATCATGGCGGACGGGGAGCGGTCGCCGCTGTTACCGGTGGAACCGGGGCCGGGCCCGGGGCTGGGGGGGGCCGCGGGGGGGGGTGAGTGCGAGAAGGGGGCGGGGCCTAAAGGGGGAGGGGCTCGGGGGTGGGGAAAGAGTGGGGATGGAGGGGAAGGGGGCGGGGCCGAGCGCTGTTCCCATTGGTCTCTCCCCCCCTCCCCCTCCGCTTTAAGGTGAGGCCCCGCCCCCTTACTCGCCATTGGTCAGCCCGGAAGGAGGCGGGAGCGGCGGCGGTGACGTCGGAGGCGGCGGCGGCGGAGGGGTGGGAGGGGCGGGGCCGTCGGTCACGTGCCGCGTGTGCCAGCGGCCAATCAGCGTGGAGGGCAAAGGGCACCAGCACGTGGTCAAGTGCGGCGCGTGCGGGGAGGCCACGGTGAGGGGGCGGGGCCTAAAAGGGGGGGCGGGGCTTAAAGGGGAGGGGGCGGGGCTTTACGATGGCGCCCCCTAATGGAGGGAGGGGGAAAGGGGGCGTGGCTTCACTATGGCTCCTTATATGGTATAAGGGGGGGCGTGGTTTCACCTTATAGGAGGGAGGGGAGAAGGGGCGTGGCTTAATGGGGGTGGGGCTTCACCGTGGCTCCTCATAGGGTATAAAGGGGGGGCGTGGCTTCACCTTGGCATCCCCTATGGTAGGGAGGGGGGGAAGAGGAGGCGGGGCTTAGCTGATCCGCCATATATGGGAAGGGGCGTGGCTTAAGCGTGGCGCCTTATATGGGATGGAGGGGGGCGTGGCCAAACTATGGCGCCCCCTAGTGGCGCGCCAAGGGGGGGGTGTGCTATGGCCTTAAAGGGGGGGGAATAGGAAGGGGGGGCGTGGCCTGCGGCTAAGCCCCGCCCCTCTGCCGTGCTCTCAGCCAATCAGGACGGCCCCTGCGGGGAAGAAGTACGTGCGGTGCCCCTGTAACTGCCTCCTGGTCTGCAGTGGGGCTGCGCAGCGCATTGCCTGCCCCCGGCCATACTGGTACATGGGGGGCTATGGGGGGATATGGGGGGTCTATGGGGCACTATGGGGGTCTATGGGGTCTGTATGGGGTCTCTATGGGTCTCTATGGGTTGTCTGTGGGTCCCTATGGGGTCTCTGTGGGTTTCTATGGGGTCTCTGTGGGTTTCTATGGGTTCTCTAGGGGTCTGTGTGGGGTCTCTATGGGTCTCTATGAGCTCTCTATGGGTCTCTATGCGTTCCTATGGGTTTCTATGGGATCTCTATGGGTTTGGATGGGTTCTCTATGGGTCTCTATGGGTCTCTATGGGGTCTCTATGGGTCTTTATGGGTCTCTATGAGTCTCCATGGGTCCTCTATGGGGTCTCTATGGGTCTCTTTGAGGTCTCTATGGGTCTCTATGTGTTGCTATGGGTTTCTATGGAATCTCTATGGGTTTGGATGGGTTCTCTATGGGTCTCTATGGGGTCTCTATGCGTCTCTATGGGTCTCTATGGGGTCTCTATGGGGTCTTTACGGGGCTCTATTGGTCTCTATGGGGTCTCTATGGGTCTCTATGTGTCTCTATGGTCCCTGTGGGGTCCCTATGGGTCTCTATGGGTCCCTACGGGTCCCTATGTGTCTCTTTCTATGGTCTCTCTATGGTCTCTATGGGGTCTCTATGGGTCCCTAAGGGTCTCTATGGGTTGCTATGTGTCTCTATGGGTCCCTATGGGTCTCTATGGGTCTCTATGGGTCTCTATGGGGTCTCTATGGGGTCTCTATGGGTCTCTATGGGTCTCTATGGGTCTCTATGGGGTCTCTATGGGTCTCTATGGGTCTCTATGGGTCTCTATGGGGTCTCTATGGGTCCCTATGGGTCTCTATAGGTCTCTATGGGGTCTCTATGGGTCTCTATGGGTCTCTATGGGTCTCTATGGGTCTCTATGGGTCTCTATGGGTCTCTATGGGTCTCTATGGGTCTCTATGTGTCTCTATGGGTCTCTATGGGTCTCTATGGGTCTCTATGGGTCCCTATGGGTCTCTATGGGTCTCTATGGGTCTCTATGTGTCCCTATGGGTCCCTATGGCTCCCTATGGGTCCCTATGGGTCCCTATGGGTCTCTATGGGTCTCTATGTGTCTCTATGGGTCTCTATGTGTCTCTATGGGTCTCTATGGGTCTCTATGTGTCTCTATGGGTCCCTATGGGTCTCTATGGGTCTCTATGGGTCTCTATGTGTCCCTATGGGTCCCTATGGCTCCCTATGGGTCCCTATGGGTCCCTATGGGTCTCTATGGGTCTCTATGTGTCTCTATGGGTCTCTATGTGTCTCTATGGGTCTCTATGGGTCTCTATGTGTCTCTATGGGTCCCTATGGGTCTCTATGGGTCTCTATGGGTCTCTATGTGTCCCTATGGGTCCCTATGGCTCCCTATGGGTCCCTATGGGTCCCTATGGGTCTCTATGGGTCTCTATGTGTCTCTATGGGTCTCTATGTGTCTCTATGGGTCTCTATGGGTCTCTATGTGTCTCTATGGGTCCCTATGGGTCTCTATGGGTCTCTATGTGTCTCTATGTGTCTCTATGGGTCTCTATGGGTCTCTATGGGTCTCTATGGGTCTCTATGGGTCTCTATGGGTCTCTATGTGTCTCTATGTGTCTCTATGTGTCCCTATGGGTCCCTATGGGTCTCTATGGGTCTCTATGGGTCTCTATGGGTCTCTATGGGTCTCTATGTGTCTCTATGTGTCTCTATGTGTCTCTATGGGTCTCTATGTGTCCCTATGGGTCTCTATGGGTCTCTATGGGTCTCTATGGGTCCCTATGGGTCTCTATGGGTCTCTATGTGTCTCTATGTGTCTCTATGGGTCTCTATGGGTCTCTATGTGTCTCTATGGGTCTCTATGGGTCTCTATGGGTCTCTATGTGTCTCTATGGGTCTCTATGGGGTCTCTATGGGTCTCTATGGGTCTCTATGGGTCTCTATGGGCCTCTATGTGTCTCTATGGGTCTCTATGGGCCTCTATGTGTCTCTATGGGTCCCTATGGGTCCCTATGGGGTCTCTATGGGGTCTCTATGGGTCTCTATGGGGTCTCTATGGGGTCTCTATGGGTCTCTATGGGGTCTCTATGGGTCTCTATGGGTCTCTATGGGTCTCTATGGGTCTCTATGGGTCTCTATGTGTCTCTATGGGGTCTCTATGGATCTCTATGGGTCTCTATGGGTCTCTATGGGTCCCTATGTCTCTCTATGTGTCTCTATGGCCCCCCAGCAAGCGCATCATCAACCTGGGCCCGGTTCAGGCCGGAGCCTCCAGCCCGGAGCCGCCAGCAGGGGGCGTGCGCGTGGCCTGCGGGCACTGCGGGGGCCCCTTCCTGGTGAGAGCGCCCCCTGGCGGCGGGGAGGACACACACAGAGCCCATGACACCTATAGGGGGGGCCTAGCCCCATAGATGTGGGGCCAGCCCCATAGATGTGGGTCCCAGTCCCCTATATATGGATCCCAGCCCCATAGATAAGGGTCCCCGCCCCATAGATCTGGGTCCAGCCCCATAGATGTGGGTCCTTCCTCATAGATATGGTCCCAGGCCCACAGATGTGGTCCTAGCCCTATAGGTATGGGTCCCAGCCCCTTAGATGTGTGACCCAGCCCCTATGGATGAGGGTCCAAGTGCCATAGATGTGGGTCCAGCCCCATAGATGTGGGTCCCAGCCTGCTATATATGGGTTCCAGCCCCCTATATATAGGTCCCAGCCCCATAGAGGTGGGTCCCAGCCCCATAGATGTGGGTTCTGCCCCCTATATATGGGTCCCAGCCCTATAGATGTTGTCCCAGCCCCATAGATATGGGTCCAGCCCCATAGATGTGGGTCCTGCCCCATAGATGTGGGTCCAGCCCCATAGATGTGGGTCCCAGTGCCATAGATGTGGGTTCCAGCCCCATATATGTGGTCCCAGCCCCCTAGATGTGGGTTCTGCCCTTTATATATGGATCCCAGCCCTATAGATGTGGTCCCAGCCCCATAGATATGGGTCCAGCCCCATAGATGAGGCTCCTTCCCCATAGATATGGTCCCAGGCCCATAGATGTGGTGCTAGCCCTATAGGTATGGGTCCCAGCCCCATAGATGTGGGTTGCAGCCCCTATGGATGGGGGTCCATAGATGTGGGTCCAACTCCATAGATGTGGATCCAGCTCCCTGTGTATGGATGCCAGCCCCATAGATGTGGGTCCCAGCCCCATAGATGTGGGTCTGCCACCTATATATGGATCCCAGCCCTATAGATGTGGTCCCAGCCCCATAGATATGGGTCCAGCCCCATAGATGCGAGCCCTGCCCCCTAGATACGTATCCCAGCCCTATAGATGTGAGTCTCTGCCCCCTAGATGTGGGTCCCAGCCCCATAGATGTGTGTCCTGCCCCATAGATATGGGTCCCAGCACCATAGATGTGGGTCCCAGCCCCCTATATATGGGTCCCAGCCCCATAGATGTGGTCCCAGCCCCTTAGATGTGGGTTCTGCCCCATACATATGGGACCCAGCCCCCTATATATGGCTCCCAGCCCCATAGATGTGGGTCCAGCCCCATAGCCGTGGCTCCCATCTCTTGCAGTGGGCCGAGCTCTCGGACCGCGCCCTCGCCCGCTGCCCCCACTGCCGCAAGGTGTAAGTGTCACGTGACCTTTACAGACAGGGTGGGCGGGGCTTAAGGCATAGCCCCGCCCCCTTTCCGATGACGTCATCACCCACCCCCCCCCCAGGTCCGCCATTGGCCGTCGGTTGCCGCGGCGACGCTGCCTCTGCTGCCTCCTGCTGGCGCTGCTCATGGCCGGGGCGGCCGCGGGGCTGGCGGTGAGGGGCGGGGCTTAAAGGGAGCAGCCAATGGGAGCGCGGCTCGGGGAGGGGGTGTGGCCAAGGGGAGGAGCGGCAGCCAATGGGGGTTAAGGACGGGGAGGGGGTTGAGGGAGGGAGGGTGGCTGCGCTATGGCGCCCCCTAGGGGGCGGAGGGGAAGGGGGGCGGGGTTTAAAGGGGGCCAATGGGGGTTAAGGGGGCGGGGCTTATGGGGGGTCAAGGGAGGCTTAATGTGGGAGGGGCTTGATGGTGGCGTGGGGTAAAGGGAGCCAATGGGAGGGGCTTAAAGGGGGCGGGGCTTATGGGGCTCAATGGGGGGGAAAGCGTTAATGCTCTGGGGGCTTGAAGTGGGAGGGGCTTAAAGGGGTGGGGTTATAAGGGCCAATGGGTGTTAAGGGGCGTGGCTTAGGGGATGCATCAATGGGGGCTTAATGTGGGAGGGGCTTTGAGGGGGCGTGGTTTAAAGGGGAGCCAATGGGGGTTAAGGGGGCGGGGATAATGGGGGGTTCAATGGGGTTTGAAGTGGGAGGGGCTTACAGGGGGCGGGGCCTAGAGGCAGCCAATGGGGGTTAAGGGGGCCAATGGGCGCTAAGGGGCGTGGCTTATAGGGGGCATGAATGGGGTGGGACGTGAGAGGGGCTTAAAGGGGGCGTGGCCTGAAGGGACCAATGGGCGTTAAAGGGGGCAGGGGTTAAAAGGAGGGGGCGTGTCCCTGACTGGGCCCCGCCCCTTCTCTACCCCCAATCTCGTCCAATCAGGTGCTGACGTGGGGGGTGTCGCGGAAGCTCCGCCCCCTGCACGCGGGTTGGGCCCTGCTGGGGGCGGGGTCTGGGGCCTGCCTGCTGCGGGCGGCCTATTGGGGCTGCGTGCGGGTGAGCCGGGCCCTGCCCGCCCGCCCCTGATTGGCTGCCGGCGGTCACGTGGCGCCAGGCGCCGGCTCCGATTGGACGGCCACTACGGGTGCGGCCATGTTGGATCCGTGGCCTGCTGTGGAGGCGGCCATCTTGGATGCACCCCCCTCATATGACGGCGGCCATCTTGGACTCACGCCCCCATGGAGGCAGCCATCTTGGACCTACTCCACCCCATGACGTCGGCCATCTTGAATCCACCTCCCCATGAAGGCAGCCATCTTGGACTCATGCTCACCATTGCGGCAGCCATCTTGGAGTCACGCTCCCCATGGAGGCAGCCATCTTGAATACACCCCCACATGAAGGCGGCCATCTTGGACTCACGCTCCTCATAGCGGCAGCCATCTTGAAAACACCCCCGCATGGAGGCAGCCATCTTGAAAACACCCCCACATGAAGGCGGCCATCTTGGACTCACGCTCCCCATAGCGGCAGCCATCTTGAATCCAGCTATTCATTCTGGCAGCCATCTTGGACTCATGCCCCCCATGGAGGCAGCCATCTTGGAGCTACCCCCTCATGACAGCGGCCATCTTGGATTCATGCTTTGCATAGTGGCGGCCATCTTGGACTGACGCTCTACATAGCGGCAGCCATCTTGAATCCATCTCCCCATGACGGCAGCCATCTTGGACTCACGCCCCCATGGAGGCAGCCATCTTGGACCTACACTCCACCCCATGACGTCGGCCATCTTGAATCCACCTCCCCATGACGGCAGCCATCTTGGACTCATTCTCCCCATTGCGGCAGCCATCTTGGATTCACGCTCCCCATGGAGGCAGCCATCTTGAATACACCCCCACATGAAGGCGGCCATCTTGGACTCACGCTCCTCATAGCGGCAGCCATCTTAAATCCACCTCCCCATGGAGGCAGCCATCTTGAATGCACCCCCTCATGACGGCGGCCATCTTGGACTCACGCTCCCCATAGCGGCAGCCATCTTGAATCCAGCTATTCATTCTGGCAGCCATCTTGGACTCATGCCCCCCATGGAGGCAGCCATCTTGGACCTTCCTCCTCATGACGGCGACCATCTTGGATTCATGCTTTGCATAGTGGCGGCCATCTTGGACTCACGCCCCCATGGAGGCAGCCATATTGGAGCTACCCCCTCATGACAGCGGCCATCTTGGACTCATGCTCCCCACAGAAGCAGCCATCTTGAACTCACCCCCACCGCCCCCCCACCCCCCCATGACGGCGGCCATCTTGGACCCTCACCCCTTATGGCGGCAGCCATCTTAGATTCACTCCCCCTCCACGGCAGCGGCCATCTTGGACTCACCCCCTCCTGATGGTGGCGGCCATCTTGGACTCACACTCCCTGCATGCCCCCCGACTCCCTTCCCAGCATGCACCGGGGTGGGGGGGGGTGGGGGTGCGGGGCCACCTCAATAGAGCCCCATTGAATGCCAGTGGCTTTTTGAACCCCACCTTAGCCCCATTTTGGGTCCATTTATGGCCATTTTGAGCTCATAGAGCCCATAATAACCCCGTTTAAACCCAATTTAGGCCCATTTAGGCCCATTTTGGTCCCATACAGACCATAATAACCCCATTGAAACCCATTTTAGAACCATTTCCAGGAGATTATAACCACATTGAGCTCAATAGCACCCCGATAACCCCATACAGACCCCATAATAACCCCATCTTAACCCAATTTAGGCCCATTTATGGCCATTTTGGTCCCATACAGACCATAATAACCCCATCGAAACCCCAATTTGGACCCATTTTGCCTCAATTCGCCCCCCAAACCCCATACAGACCCAATATAGCCCATAATCACCCCATTTAAACCCAGTTTAGGCCCATTTAGGGCCATTTTGGTCCCATACAGACCATAATAATCCCATCAAAACCCCAATTTAGACCCGTTTTGCCTCAATTCCCCCCCCAGAACCCCATACAGACCCAATATAGCCCATAATAACCCCATTTAAACCCAGTTTAGGCCCATTTAGGGCCATTTTGACGCCATACAGACCATAATAACCCCATTGAAAACCAACTTAGAACCGTTTATAGTAGATTAGGACCGTACAGAGCTCAATGGCACCCCCATAGACCATAATAACCCCAACTGAGCCCCATTTTGGGTCCATTTATGGCTATTTTGGTCCCTTCCAGACCATAATGACCTCATCAAGCCCCAATTTAGCCCCATTTATGGCTATTTTGACCCAATATAGACCATAGTAACCATTGCTACCCCATATCCACCCCATTATAAGACCGTAACCCCGTATTAACCCCATACAGACCACAATAACCCCACTGAAACCCTATTTACCCCCATTGCTGACCCATAAGCACCCCATAACCAACCTAGACCCCATCTAAACCCAATACAGGCCATAATAACCCCATCTAAACCCCACTTAGCCCCATTTTGGCTCCATTTATGACCCATAAGCCCCTACACCCCATCTAAACCCCAAACATCCCATAATAACCCCAACAAACCCCCCTATTTACCCCTATGGCTGACCCATAACCCCCCGATAACAACCCCATAACCCCCTAGACCCCATCTAAACCCCACAGGGCCTATACTAACCAATCTAAACCCCCTTATTTACCCCTATAGATGACCCATAACAACCCCATAAAGACCCATAACCCCCCCATAAAGACCCATAACCCCCCCATAATGACCCATAACCACCCCATAACCCCCTACACCCCATCTAAACCCAACACAGACCATAATAACCCCACCAAACCCCTCTATGGATGACCCATAACCCCCCCATAACAACCCCATAACAACCCATAACCCCCCATAATGACCCATAACAACCCCATAATGACCCATAACCCCCCCATAACCACCCCATAACCCCCCCATAATGACTCATAACGCCCCCATAACAACCCCATAAGAACCCATAACCCCCTCATAACAACCCATAACAACCCCATAACAACCCCCTAAAAACCCATAACCACCCCATAGAGACCCATAACCCCCCCATAACAACCTCATAATGACCCATAACCCCCCATAACCACCCCATAACCCCCCCATAAGAACCCATAACCCCCTCATAACAACCCATAACAACCCCATAGAGACCCATAACCCCCCTATAATGACCCATAACAACCCCATAACAACCCCACAATGACCCATAACCCCCCCATAACCCCCCATAACCCCCCCATAACCCCCCATAACCCCCCATAACCCCCCCCTAACCCCCCATAACCCCCATACCCCCCCATCCCCCCCTCACACCGCCAAATACAGCTCCACAGGACAATGGTCGCTCCCCATCACCTTAGGCCTGAGCTTACAATCGCAAAGCTCCTCCCCCAACCTCCGCGAGAGCAGGAAATAATCCAACCTCCACCCCACATTGCGCTCCCGAGCGCCCCCTAAGTAGGTCCAGAACGTGTACGCGTGGGGCAGGCCCGGGTTCAACACCCGGAAGGCATCGACGAACCCGGCGTCCAATAGGGCGCTGAGCCCGCTCCTCTCCTCATTGGTGAACCCCGGCGAGCGCCGATTGGTCGAGGGGTGCCGGAGGTCGAGGTCGGTGTGGGCGACGTTGAGGTCTCCACCAATGGCGACGGGTTTGAGGGCGTCGAGGCGGGACAGGAAGGAGCGGAAGGAGGCGTCGAAGCGGAGGCGGGGCTCCAGGCGGGTCAGGCCCCGCCCAGCGTTGGGGACATAGGCGCAGACCACGAAGAGGGAAGGGAACTCGGCGGTGATGACGCGGGCGGTGGGGTCGTGTTCGGGGTCGTCTGGTGAAGGGGGGGTAATGGGGGTCAATGGGGGTGAATGGGGGTGAATGGGGGTGAATGGGGGTCGATGGGGGTCAATGGGGGTCGATGGGAGTCAATGGGAGTCAATGGGAGTCAATGGTATCAATGGGACTCAATGGGACTCAATGGGGGTCAATGGAAGTCAATGGGGTCAATGGGAGTCAATAGAGATCAATAGAACTCAATGGGTGTCAATGGGGGTCAATGGTATCAATGGAAGTCAATGGGGATCAATGGAGATCAATAGAAGTCAACGGAAGTCAATAGGTGTCAATGGAGGTCAATGGCAGTCAATGGCAGTCAATGGGGATCAATGGAAGTCAATGGGGATCAATGGAGGTCAATGGGGATCAATGGCAGTCAATGGGAATCAATGGAAGTCAATGGGGATCAATGGAAGTCAATGCGGCTCAATGGAAGTCAATGGGAGTCAATGGCAGTCAATGGGGATCAATGGCAGTCAATGGGAATCAATGGCAGTCAATGGGGGTCAATGGCAGTCAATGGGAATCGATGGCAGTCAATGGGAATCAATGGCAGTCAATGGGGGTCAATGGCAGTCAATGGGAATCAATGGAAGTCAATGGCAGTCAATGGCAGTCAATGGCAGTCAATGGGGGTCAATGGGGGTCAATGGGGGGCATTGGGGGGCACTGGGGACGTAGGCGCAGACCACGAAGAGGGAAGGGAACTCGGCAGTGATGACGCGGGCGGTGGGGTCGTGTTCGGGGTCGTCTGTGGGGGGGGGTAATGGGGGTCAATGGGGGTCAATGGGGGTGAATGGAGTCGATGGGGGTCGATGGGGGTCAATGGAAGTCAATGGGGGTCAATGGAAGTCAATGGTATCAATGGAAGTCAATGGGGGTCAATGGGGGTCAATGGTATCAATGGAAGTCAATGGGGATCAATGGAGATCAATAGAAGTCAATGGAAGTCAATGGTAGTCAATAGGGGTCAATGGCAGTCAATGGGAATCAATGGCAGTCAATGGGGATCAATGGAAGTCAATGGGAATCAATGGCAGTCAATGGGGATCAATGGAAGTCAATGGGTACCAATGGCAGTCAATGGGTTCCAATCGCAGTCAATGGATGTCAATGGCAGTCAATGGGTACCAATGGCAGTCAATGGGTTCCAATCGCAGTCAATGGATGTCAATGGCAGTCAATGGGTACCAATGGCAGTCAATGGGTACCAATGGCAGTCAATGGGTACCAATGGCAGTCAATGGGTACCAATGGCAGTCAATGGGTTCCAATGGCAGTCAATGGGGTTCAATGGCAGTCAATGGGTACCAATGGCAGTCAATGGGTTCCAATGGCAGTCAATGGGGTTCAATGGCAGTCAATGGGTACCAATGGCAGTCAATGGGTACCAATGGCAGTCAATGGGTACCAATGGCAGTCAATGGGTACCAATGGCAGTCAATGGGTACCAATGGCAGTCAATGGGTACCAATGGCAGTCAATGGGTGTCAATGGCAGTCAATGGGTACCAATGGCAGTCAATGGGTACCAATGGCAGTCAATGGGTGCCAATGGCAGTCAATGGGTGTCAATGGCAGTCAATGGGTACCAATGGCAGTCAATGGGGGCCAATGGCAGTCAATGGGTACCAATGGCACTCAATGGGTTCCAATGGATGTCAATGGGTGTCAATGGGTTCCAATGGGTGTCAGTGGCACTCAATGGGTACCAATGGATGTCAATGGGTGTCAATGGGTTCCAATGGGTTCCAATGGGTGTCAATGCCCGCTCACCGATCCCATAGGTGACCCTCATTGGCTCCTCCCTGCAGAGCAGCCCCACTCCGCTGTACCCGGGGCGCCCCTCGGGACTGGCCCAGTACTGGTGGGGCAGAGCCCGCAGCTCCCGCACCTCGGGGGGCACCGACCCCGCCCCACACTTGGTCTCCTGCAGGCACAGCACATCCGGGGCCTGCTCCTGCACCCACTGCAATGGGGGTGGGGAATGGGGCAGAGTGACCAAAATGGGGCCCTTTCAGCCCAAAATGGGGCTTGCGGGCAGGTTCCACACAAAACACCCATTTTCACACCCCAAAATCCCCTTTTTACCAAAATCCCCATTTTTCCACCCAAAAAACCCATTGTTTTCCAAAATCCCCGTTTTTTCCCAAAATGCCCATTTCCCACCCAAAATCCCCATTTTCCCACCCAAAATCACCATTTTTTTCTCAAAATCCTTATTTTTTCCCCAAAATCCACATTTCCCCCTGCAAAATCCCCATTTTTCCACCCAAAATCCCCATTTTTCCACCCAAAATCCCCATTTTTTCCCCCCAAACCCCCCATTTTTCCCCCCAAAACCACAATTTTCCCCCCAAATCCCCATTTGCCCCCAAAATCCCCATTTCCTTCCCAAAACCCCCATTTTTCCGCAAAACCCCCATTTTCCTCCCAAAATCCCCATTTTTTTCCCCCAATACCCATTTTCCACACCAAAAATCCCCATTTTTTTCCCCAAACCCCCATTTCCCCACCCAAAATCCCCATTATTTTTCCTAAAACCCACATTTTCCCCCCAAAATCCCCATTTTTTTCCAATCCCCATTTCCCCCCCAAAATTCCCCATTTTTTCCCAAAATACACATTTTTCCACCCAAAACCCCCCTTTTCCCCCCAAAAACCCCCATTTCCCCACCCAAAATCCCCATTATTTTTCCCAAAATCCCCATTATTTTTCCTAAAACCCCCATTCTTTACCCAAAATCCCCATTTTTCCTTCAAAATCCCCATTTTCCCCCCCAAAATCCCCATTTTCCCCCCCAAAATCCCCATTTTCCCCCAAAATCCCCATTTTCCCCCCAAAATCCCCATTTTCCCCCCAAAATCCCCATTTTTCCCCCAAAATCCCCATTTTCCCCCCCAAAATCCCCATTTTCCCCCCAAAATCCCCATTTTCCCCCCCAAAATCCCCATTTCCCCCCCAAACCCCCATTTTTCCACCCAAAACCCCCATTCTTTACCTAAAACCCCCATTTTCTTCTGATTATCCCCATTTTTTCCCCAAATCCCCATTTTCCCCCCAAAATCCCCATTTTTTCCCCAAAATCCCCATTTTCCCCCCAAAACCCCCATTTCCCCCCCAAAACCCCCATTTTCTTCTGATCATCCCCTTTTTTTCCCAAAATCCCCCTTTTTCCACCCAAAACCCCCATTTTCCCCCCCCCAAACCCCCATTATCCCCCCACCCCCCCATATCCCCCCCCCCCCCCCATCCCCCCCCCCTCTTCCCCACCTGCAGCCCCCCTTTCCGCAGCCACCCCCGCAGCCCGGCCACGTTCCAGGTCACCAAGCGCATCCCCACGCGCTTCCCGCTCGGGGCCACCTCCCGCACCGGCGTCTCCGGGGGCAACGGCACCGACGCGTCCCGGCTGCGCTTCCCGCCACCGGGGCCTGGGGGTGCTGTGGGGGATATTGGGGGACATTGGGGGTATTGGGGTGTATTGGGGTCCATTGGGATGAATTGGGTCCATTGGGATGCATTGGGTCCATTGGGAGCCATTGGGGTGTATTGGGGTCCATTGGGGTGTATTGGGTCCATTGGGATGCATTGGGGTTCATTGGGGTGCATTGGGATGCATTGGGTCCATTGGGGTCAATTGGGATGAATTGGGTCCATTGGGATGCATTGGGGTGTATTGGGTCCATTGGGATGCATTGGGGTGCATTGGGTCCATTGGGGGCCATTGGGGTCCATTGGGATGTATTGGGGGACATTGGGATGCATTGGGGACCATTGGGGTGCATTGGAATGTATTAGGGTGTATTGGGTCTATTGGGATGCAATGGGGACCATTGGGATGTATTAGGGTGTATTGGGTCTATCGGGATGCATTGGGGTGCATTGGGGACATTGGGATGCATTGGGGGCCATTGGGATGTATTGGGGACCATTGGGGTGTATTGGGGTGTATTGGGTCCATTGGGATACATTGGGTCCATTGGGATGTATTGGGGGCCATTGGGGTGCATTGGGTCCATTGGGGGCCATTGGGGTCCATTGGGGCCATTGGGGTGCAATGGGGTCCATTGCGGTGCATTGGGTCCATTGGGATGCATTGGGGGCCATTGGGAGCCATTGGGATGCACTGGGATGCATTGGGGACCATTGGGGTGCATTGGGATGCATTAGGGGCCATTGGGATGTATTGGGGTCATTGGGGTGCATTGGATCCATTGGGATGCATTGGGGGCCATTGGGATGTGCTGGGGTCATTGGGTTGCACTGGGTCCATTGGGGTCCATTGGGGTGCTTTGGGATCTATTGGGATGCATTGAGCCCCATTGGGGTCCACTGGGGGCCATTGGGATCTATTGGGGCCATTGGGATGCGCGGGGGCCGCGCTCACCTCCCTCCTCTCCCGCCGGCGCCTCCTTTTTGGCGCGCTTCGGCATCGCTCAAGCCACGCCCCCTCCGGCTCAGGCCACGCCCCCTGCTGGTGGGAAAGCGGCGTCAGCACCGCCCCCCCCACCCCTCCGAGCCCTCCCATCCAATCAGCTCCCGGCTGGGTTCGAATCACCCAATCAGCGCCCGGCAAACGGCCAATCACAGCTCGCCGCGGCCACGCGGCCGCCGAACCGGAGCCAATCGGAACCACCCGAGGAGCGAACCGTGGCCAATCAGCGCCCGGCTTTCTAATCCCAATCCGCACCCCCCCATCCTTTCCCAGAGCCAATCAGCGCTCTCCCGTTCCCCCCCCCCCCCCACACTTCCGGAGCCAATCAGCGCCCGCTAAACAGTCCCCCCATCACCCCCCCCACACCCCACGTGTCCCGCAGCCAATCAGCTCCGCCTCTCAACGCACCCCCGCACCCCCCCGGCGGTGCAGCCAATCAGCGCCCGCTTCCTTCTTCCCCCCCCCCCCGTTCAACCCCGTTACCCCGCACCCAATCAGCGCCCTCCGCTCGCCTCAACCGGAGCCAATCAGCGGCGGCAGCGCTCGGGACCGTTCCGCGTGAGCGGCGCTGGCAGCAATGTCGGGACCGGAAGCGGAAGCGCTGTGACGTCACGGAAAGGGGCGTGGAGAGCGGAAGTAGGCGGGGCGAGTGACGTCATCAGAACGCGCAGACGGCGGAGAAGCGGCGGCGAGCGGGGACCGGCGGCGGCGGCGGCGTCCGAAGGCAAAAAGGGGGGGGGAGGGGAGGGGGCAAACGCGACGTGCTGACGTCACGACGCCGACGTGCTGACGTCATGCCGACGGTGCTGGGCCTGGAGGGCTCGGCCAATAAGGTCGGGGCGGGCGTGGTGCGTGATGGCGTCATCCTGAGCAGCCGCCGCGCCACTTACGTCACGCCGCCGGGGCAGGGTAAGCGGCGTGACGTCATCACGCAACCCCCCCCCTTAACCCCTCCCCATTCGTGACGTGATGACGTCACCACGCCCCCCCTCTCGACCAATGGCAGGCTTCGCTCCCGGCCCCGTCGGGCGCCACCACCAGGGGGCGCTCTTGGGCCTCGTGGCCGCCGCCATGGCCGACGCCGGAGCCGGGCCCCGGGACCTGGATGGGATCGCGTTCACCCGCGGTAATGGCGTGTTCTTAGCGTGTTCTTAGCGTGTTCTTAGCATGTTCTTAGCGTGTTCTTAGCATGTTCACCCCCAAACCCATAGATGGGGGTCCTATGAGTCCCTGGACCCATCTCGGGCCTTTCCCTGCCCCATAGGAGCCAGTTTGGGTCACATGTTCTTAGCATGTTCACCCCCAAACCCATAGATGGGGGTCCTATGGGTCCCTGGAGCCATCTCAGACCCTCCCCAGCCCCATAGGAGCCCATTGGGAAGTGTTTGGGGCCCATATCCTTAGCATGTCGTTAGCATGTTCTTAGCATGTTCTTAGCGTGTTCACCCCCAAACCCATGGACACGGTCCTACGCGTCCCTGGTCCCATCTCAGGCTCTCCCCACCCCCATAGGAACCCATCAGGAGCTCTATGGGTCACATGTTCTTAGCATGTCCTTAGCATGTTGAACTCCAAGGCCATAGATAGGGGTCCCATGGGTGCTTGGTCCCATCTCAGACCCTTCCCAACCCATAGGAGCCCATGGGGTTCCATGTCCTTAGCATGTCCTTAGCATGTCCTTAGCATGTTCTTAGCATGTTGAACCCGAAAGCCATAGACAGGGCTGCCATGGGTGCTTGGTCCCATCTCAGACCCTTCCCACCCCATAGGAGCCCATTGCGTTCCATGTCCTTAGCATGTCCTTAGCATGTCATTAGCATGCTCTTAGCATGTCCTTAGCATATCGAACCCCAAAGCCATCAATAGGGGTCCCACGGGCGCTTGGTCCCATCTCAGACCCTTCCCACCCCATAGGAGCCCATTGGGTTCCATCTCCTTAGCATGCCCTTAGCATGTTCTTAGCATGTCATTAGCGTGTTATTAGCATGTTATCAACACATCCCTCAGCATGTTCTTAGCATGTCATTAGCGTGTTATTAGCATGTTATCAACACATCCCTCAGCATGTTCTTAGCATGTTCTTAGCATGTTCTCGACATGTCACTAGCATGTCCTTAGTGTGTTCTTAGCACATCATTAGCATGTCATTAGCATGTTTTAACATGTCCTTAGCATGTCCATAGCATGTTCTTAGCATGTCCTTAGCATGTTCTTAACATGTCCTTAGTATGTTCTTAGCATGTCCTTAGGGTGTTCTTAACGTGTCATTGTCATGTCCTTAGCATGTTATTAGCATGTCATTAGCATGTCATCAGCATGTCCTTAGCATGTCCTCAGCATGTCATTGGCATGTCCTTAGCATGTCCTTAGCATGTTCCTTGCACAGGCCCGGGCCTGGGGGCCCCGTTGGCGGTGGTGGCGGCCGTGGGGCGCACCCTGGCCCAGCTGTGGGGCCTGCCCCTGCTGGGGGTCAATCACTGCGTGGGGCACATCGAGATGGGGCGGCTCCTGGCGCCCGCCCGCGACCCCCTCGTGCTCTACGTCAGTGGTGGCAACACCCAGGTACCCGCTATGGGGCGGCTGTGGGGGGATATGGGGGGGATATGGGGGGGTATGGGGGGTCTATGGGGGTCTATGGGGGTCTATGGGGGGATATGGGGGGGATATGGGGGGATATGGGGGGTCTATGGGGGTCTATGGGGGTCTATGGGGGTCTATGGGGGTCTATGGGGGGTCTATGGGGGTCTATGGGGGGTCTATGGGGGTCTATGGGGTCTATGGGTCTCTATGGGGGGTCTATGGGGGTCTATGGGGGGATATGGGGGGGATATGGGGGTCTATGGGGGGATATGGGGTCTATGGGGTCTATGGGGGGATATGGGGGGATATGGGGGGGATATGGGGGGGTATGGGGGTGTATGGGGGGGATATGGGGGGGATATGGGGGTCTATGGGGGGGATATGGGGGTCTATGGGGGTCTATGGGGGGGATATGGGGGGATATGGGGGTCTATGGGGATGGGGGGTCTATGGGGGGTCTGATGGTATGGGGGGATATGGGGGGTTATGGGGGTCTATGGGGGGTCTATGGGGGTGTATGGGGGGTCTATGGGGGTCTATGGGGGGTTATGGGGGGATATGGGGGTCTATGGGGGGGATATGGGGGTCTATGGGGGTCTATGGGGGGCTATGGGGGGGATATGGGGGGCTATGGGGGTCTATGGGGGGCTATGGGGGAGCTATGCAGTGGGTATGGGGGGCTATGGGGTGTCTATGGGGTGGGTATGGGGGGCTATGGGGTGGCTATGGGGTTGGTATGGGCGGTATGGGGGATATGGGGGCTATGGGGTGGGTATGGGGTGGATATGGGGTGGATATGGGGTGGGTATGGGGTGGCTATGGGGTGGATATGGGGTGTCTATGGGGTGGCTATGGGGTGGCTATGGGGTGGCTATGGGGTGTCTATGGGGTGGCTATGGGGTGGCTATGGGGTGGCTATGGGGTGGCTATGGGGGGATATGGGGGCTATGGGGTGGGTATGGTAGAATATGGGGTGGATATGGGGTGGGTATGGGGGATATGGGGGGGCTATGGGGTGAATATGGGGCGCAATGGGGTGGATATAGGGTGTCTATGGGGTGTCTATAGGGTGGATATAGGGCGTTGGGGGGGCTACGGAGTGGATATGGGGTGGGTATGAGGGGATATGGGAGACTATGGGGTGTCTATGGGGTGGGTATGGGGGGCTATGAGGGGATATGGGAGTCTATGGGGGGCTATGGGGTGGATATCTGGGGGTATGGGGGAACATGGGGGCTATGGGGTGTCAATGGGGGGCTATGGGGTGGATATGAGGAGTCTATGGGCCAATATGGGCTCCTATGGGGGCTCTTAGTGCTCCATCCAATAACATGCAATAACACCTGATATCACATGACCACATGCTATACCACCCATGACGTCACGCATGACGTCACGTATGACGTCACGCATGACGTCACAACCCCCCTCAACCAATAGGTGATCGCCTTCTCCCGCCGCCGTTACCGCATCTTCGGGGAGACCCTGGACCTGGCCCTGGGGAACTGCCTGGACCGGATGGCCCGCCTCCTGCGGGTCAGTGCCCCGCCCACCCCGCCTCCCCATTGGCTGAGCCGCGGTGGTGCCGTGTCCCCATTGGCTGAGCCCGCTGCACCCCCCCCCTTCCATTGGCTGCAATGGCAGTGGGGGAGCCAGGCACTGCGGCGCCCCCTAGCGGGGAGCGCGCTGACTCCGCCCCCTTTTCTCTGGCCACGCCCCCTCCGCAGCTGCCCAATGACCCGAGCCCGGGCTACAACGTGGAGGTGATGGCGAGGAGGTGAGGACCCCGTTAATAGACCCCAAACCCCTTTAATAGACCCCAAAACCCCTTTAATAGACCCCAAACCCCGTTAATAGACCCAAAACCCCTTTAATAGACCCCCAAAACCCCTTTAATAGACCCCAAACCCCTTTAATAGACCCCAAAAACCCCTTTAATAGACCCCAAACCCCTTTAATAGACCCAAACCCCTTTAATAGACCCAACCCCTTTATGCAAACCCCTTTAATAGACCCCAAACCCCTTTAATAGACCCAAACCCCTTTAATAGACCGAAACCCCTTTAATAGACCCCAAACCCCCTGAATAGACCGAAACCCCTTTAATAGACCCCAAACCCCCTGAATAGACCCAAACCCCTTTAATAGACCCCAAACCCCTTTAATAGACCCCATAACCCCCATTATTTGCCCCTCTTGGGGTCCCCTATAGGGGCCGCCGGCTGCTGGACCTGCCCTATGTGGTCAAAGGGATGGACGTGTCCTTCTCGGGGCTCCTGTCCCACCTGCAGGTGATCATAGGGTCTGTTAATGGGGTTTGGGGTCTATTAATGGGGTTATGGGGTCTATTAACGGGGTTTGGGGTCTATTAATGGGGTTATGGGGTCTATTAATGGGGTTTGGGTCTATTAATGGGGTTATGGGGTCTGTTAAAGGGGTTTGGGGTCTTTTAATGGGGTTTGGGGTCTATTAATGGGTTTTGGGTCTTTTAACGGGGTTTGGGGTCTATTAAAGGGGTTTGGGGTCTATTAAAGGGGTTTGGGTCTATTAAAGGGGTTTGGGGTCTATTAAAGGGGTTTGGGTCTATTAAAGGGGTTTGGGGTCTATTAAAGGGGTTTGGGTCTATTAAAGGGGTTTGGGGTCTATTAAAGGGGTTTGGGGTCTATTAAAGGGGTTTGGGTCTATTAAAGGGGTTTGGGGTCTATTAAAGGGGTTTGGGGTCTATTAAAGGGGTTTGGGTCTATTAAAGGGGTTTGGGTCTATTAAAGGGGTTTGGGGTCTATTAATGGGGTTTGGGGTCTATTAAAGGGGTTTGGGTCTATTAATGGGGTTATGGGGTCTGTTAATGGGGTTTGGGTCTATTAAAGGGGTTTGGGTCTATTAATGGGGTTATGGGGTCTATTAAAGGGGTTTGGGGTCTATTAATGGGGTTTGGGTCTATTAAACGGGTTTGGGTCTATTAATGGGGTTTGGGTCTATTAAAGGGGTTTGGGGTCTATTAAAGGGGTTTGGGGTCTATTAATGGGGTTTGGGTCTATTAAAGGGGTTTGGGTCTATTAAAGGGGTTTGGGGTCTATTAAAGGGGTTTGGGGTCTATTAAAGGGGTTTGGGTCTATTAAAGGGGTTTGGGTCTATTAAAGGGGTTATGGGGTCTGTTAATGGGGTTTGGGTCTATTAAAGGGGTTTGGGTCTATTAATGGGGTTATGGGGTCTATTAAAGGGGTTTGGGGTCTATTAATGGGGTTTGGGTCTATTAAACGGGTTTGGGTCTATTAATGGGGTTTGGGTCTATTAAAGGGGTTTGGGGTCTATTAAAGGGGGTTGGGGTCTATTAAAGGGGTTTGGGGTTTGTTAAAGGGGTTTGGGGTCTATTAAATGGGTTTGGGTCTATTAAAGGGGTTTGGGGTCTATTAAAGGGGTTTGGGGTTTGTTAAAGGGGTTTGGGGTCTATTAAATGGGTTTGGGTCTATTAAAGGGGTTTGGGGTCTATTAAAGGGGTTTGGGGTTTGTTAAAGGGGTTTGGGGTCTATTAAATGGGTTTGGGTCTATTAAAGGGGTTTGGGTCTATTAAAGGGGTTTGGGGTCTATTAAATGGGTTTGGGGTCTATTAAAGGGGTTTGGGGTCTATTAATGGGTTTTTGGGTCTATTAAACGGGTTTGGGTCTATTAATGGGGTTTGGGTCTATTAAAGGGGTTTGGGGTCTATTAAAGGGGTTTGGGGTCTATTAAAGGGGTTTGGGGTTTGTTAAAGGGGTTTGGGGTCTATTAAATGGGTTTGGGTCTATTAAAGGGGGTTATGGGTCTATTAAAGGGTTTGGGGTCTATTAAGGGGGTTTGGGGTCTATTAACGGGGTTCCCCTCCCCCCCAGGCCATCACCCCCAAGCTCTTGGCCTCAGGGGAGGCGACCCCCGAAGATCTCTGCTTCTCCCTGCAGGTGACGGCGGCTATTATGGGATGGCGGCTCCTCTTAACGGGGTTTGGGTCTATTAAAGGGGTTTTGGGTCTATTAATGGGGGTTTTGGGTCTATTAAAGGGGTTTTGGGTGTATTAAGGGGGTTTTGGGTCTATTAAAGGGGTTTTGGGTGTATTAAGGGGGTTTGGGGTCTACTAAAGGGGTTTTGGGTCTGTTAAGGGGGTTTTGGGTCTATTAAAGTGCTTTCGGGTTTATTAAGGGGTTTTTGGGTCTATTAATGGGGTTTTTGGGGTCTATTAACCGGGTTTTGGGGTCTATTAACCGGGTTTTGGGTCTATTAATGGGGTTTTGGGTCCATTAACCGGGTTTTGGGGTCCATTAATCGGGTTTTTGGGTCTATTAATGGGGTCTTTAGGGTCCATTAACCGGGTTTTATGTCTATTAACCGGGTTTTGGGTTTATTAATGGGGTTTTTGGGTCCATTAACCGGGTTTTGGGGTCTATTAACCGGGTTTTGGGTCTATTAATGGGGTTTTTGGGGTCTATTAACCGGCTTTTGGGTCCATTAACCGGGTTTTGGGTCTATTAACCAGGTTTGGGGTCCATTAACCGGGTTTTGGGTCCATTAACCGGGTTTTCGGTCTATTAAGGGGTTTTTGGGTCTATTAACTGGGTTTTTGGGGTCTATTAACCGGGTTTTGGGTCTATTAACCAGGTTTTGGGTCCATTAACCGGGTTTTTGGGGTCCATTAACCGGGTTTTGGGTCTACTATCCGGGTTGGGGGGGGTCTATTAACCGGGCTCGGCACTATGGCGCCCCCTGCAGGAGACGGCGTTCGCCATGTTGGCCGAGGTCACCGAGAGGGCACTGGCGCTGACGCGCGCCCCGCACCTGCTGCTGGTGGGGGGCGTGGCCTGTGAGTCACGTGGGGCGAGGCGCGGCCAATCAGAGGGCGGGGTGGAGGGAAGGGGGCGTGGCTTTAGGGGTTGGATGGGGGAAGGGGTGAGGGATGCTTGTATGGGGTGGGAGGTGTATATAGGGGGGTGGGAGGTATCTATGGGGCTGGGAGCCATATCTATGGGGTGGGAGGCATATATAGGGGGCTGGGACCTATATCTATGGGGCTGGGACCCACATCTATGGGGCTGGAATCCATATATAGGGGGTGGGACTCACATCTATGGGGCTGGAATCTATATATAGGGGGCTGGGATCTATATATAGGGGGCTGGGACCCATATATAGGGGGCTGGGACCCATATCTATGGGGCTGGGACCCATAACTATGGTGGTGGGATCCATCTATGGGTCTGGGACTCACATCTATGGGGCTGGGACTCATATTTAGACTCTAGGATCGACATCTATGGGGCTGGGATCCATATATAGTAGACTAGGACCCACATCTATGGGGCTGGGATCCATCTATAGGGGCTGGGACCCATATATAGGGGGTGGGACCCACATCTATGGGGCTGGGCCCCATATATGGGGTCAGAACCTATAGATATGGGGCTGAGATCAGTATCTATAGGGCTGGGAGCCATATCTAAGGGGTGAGACCCACATATATGGGGCTGAGACCCACATATATGGGGCTAAGACCCACATTAATGGAGCTGAGACCCACATCTATGGGGTGGGACCCATATATAGGGGGCTGAGATCCATATATAGGGGGTGGGACCCACATCTATGGGGTGGGACCTATAGATATGGGGTTGGGACCCACATCTATGGGGCTGGACCCACATCTTCCCCCCCCCCACAGGTAACCAGCGCCTGCAGGAGATGCTGCGGACCATGTGCAGTGCCCGGGGGGTCACGCTCTGCCCCACAGATGAGAGGTGTGGACCCACATCTATGGGGCTGGGACCCACATCTATGGGGCTGGGACCCACATCTATGGGGCTGGGACCTATATCTATGGGGCTTGGAGCCATATATAGGGGCCTGGACCCATATATAGGGGGTTGGGACCCATATCTATGGGTCAGGCTCCCCATCTATGGGGCTGAGCCCCATAGATCCTGGTGTTGTTCTCCCCCCATAGGTACTGCATTGACAATGGGGCCATGATTGCTCAGGCGGGCTGGGAGATGCTGCGGGTGGGTCAGGTGACCGAGCTCGACCAATCAGGGATCACGCAGAGGTGAGTGCCCGCGACCCACATCTATGGGGCTGGGACCCACATATAGGGGATGGGACCCACATCTATGGGGCTGGGACCCATATATAGGGGGTGGGACCCACATCTATGGAGCTGGGACCCACATCTATGGGGCTGGGACCCACATATAGGGGGCTGGGATTCATTACAGGGGGCTGGGACCCACATATAGGGGGCTGGGACCCACATATAGGGGATGGGACCCACATCTATGGGGCTGGGACCCATATATAGGGGGTGGGACCCACATCTATGGGGCTGGGACCCATATCTAGGGGGTGAGACCCACATCTATGGGGCTGGGACCCATATATAGAGGGTGGGATCCACATCTATGGGGCTGGGACCCATATATAGGGAGTGGGAACCACATCTATGGGGCTGGGACCCACATATAGGGGGCTGGGATTCATTACAGGGGGCTGAGACCCACATCTAGGGGGCTGGGACCCATATATAGGGGGTGGGACCCACATATAGGGGGTGGGACCCACATCTATGGGTCTGGGACCCATATATAAGGGGTGGGCCCCCCATCTATGGGGCTGGACCCCCATCTATAGGGCTCAAATCTCTCCCTCCCCCCCCCCAGGTACAGGACAGATGAAGTGGAGGTCACATGGCGCGACTGACCTGGCCCCGCCCCTTTCATAAAGGCTCCACCCCCTACACCAAGGCTCCGCCTCTTTATTCCTTATAAGGAAGCGATACCACGCCCCCTTCCCATTCATTTGCATGCCATACCCTTCTCACCTTATAAGGAAGCAAAGCCCCGCCTCCCCTCATTTACATGCCATTTCCTTATAAGGAAGAGATACCACGCCCCCTTCCATTCATTTGCATCTCATGCCCCGCCTCCCCTCATTTACATCCCATTTCCTTACAAGGAAGCGACGCCACGCCCCCTCTGTAGCACCCTCCATTCATTCCCACCCCATCTCCTTATAAGGCACCGAAGCCCCGCCTCCCTCCCCTCATTTGCATCCCCCCTCCTTATAAGGCAGCGCTCCCCATCCCCTCCCTCCACCTTGCGCCGGAAGCCACGCCCCTAACCCGCCCATCAGCCAATAGGAACGCGGCGCGGGGAGGGGGCGGCAACGTGACCTTGACGCATGCGCAGTAGCCGGAAGCGCTCATTCCGCGCAGGCCGCCGCCGCGGACGGATGTGGCTCCGGTAAGGGCCTGCGCTCGCTTTAACCGGTTACCCCCGACCCGCGTTCCCTCCGCCGCCGCCAGCCTCGGGCGAGCGGGGTTTTAGCGGGGTCGGAGAGCAGCGCCCGCGGCTTTTCCTTCACCCGGGGAGCGGAGCTCGGTGGCTCCGGCGGAGTTTGCGGGGCCGCACAGGGCTTAAAGGGGGGGGCGGGGATCCACATTGAGGCTTTAAAACCACTTTATTTCCCCTTTTTTACCCCATTTTTCCTCTTTTTTACCCTTTATTCATCGTTTTAAACGCGGTTCCGTCGCTTTTTCGCTCCATCCGGGCACTTTTTACCTCATTCTACCTTAAATTGGGGGGGGGTTGTCCCCATTGAGGTTTTAAAACCCTTTTATTTCTCCTTTTAGTTCCCATTTTCCCTCGTTTTTTCCCTTTATTCATCGTTTTAAACGCGGTTCGGTCGCTTTTTCTCTCCATCCGGGCACTTTTTACCTCAGTCCACTTTAAATTGGGGGGGGTGTCCCCACTGCCGCTTTAAAACTTCTTTATTTCTCCTTTTATTTTCCATTTTCCCTCGTTTTTTCCCTTTATTCATCGTTTTAAACGCGGTTCGGTCGCTTTTTCGCTCCATCCGGGCACTTTTTCCCTCAGTCCGCCTTAAATTGGGGGGTGTCCCCATTGCCGCTTTAAAACCCCTTAATTTGAGTAGATATCCCCATTGAAACTCTTAAAACCCCTTTATTTTCCCTTTTTCCCCCATTTTCCCTCGTTTTTTCCCTTTATTCATCGTTTTAAACGCGGTTCGGTCGCTTTTTCTCTCCATCCGGGCACTTTTTACCTCAGGCCGCCTTAAATTGGGGGGTGTCCCCATTGCCGCTTTAAAACCCCTTAATTTGAGTAGATATCCCCATTGAAACTCTTAAAACCCCTTTATTTTCCCTTTTTTTCCCCATTTTCCCTCTTTTTTTACCTTTATTCATCCATTTTACTGCATTTTTGGTCGCTTTTTCTCTCCATCCGGGCACTTTTTACCTCAGTCCGCCCCCCCCATCGCATTTCCCCCTTTAAACCCCGTTTCCTCATTAAACACCCGTTTCTTTACCCTTTATTTGCTATTTTAGGTGATTTTTAACCTAATTCCCCGTTTTTCGCCTGTTTTATGGGGATTTTAATGGGTTTATGTGCATTCCGAGGTGGTTTTATTTCAGTTTTGCCCCCCCCACACGTGGCTTTCCCCCTTTTACCCCCATAAACCCCGTTTTAAATCATTTTACTTCATATTTTAATCCATTTATTACTTTTATTGATGAATTTGAAGCCGTTTTAACGCGTTTTTATCGCTTTTTAGACCCATTTAGGACCTTTTTACCTGAGTTTTTCCCCCACCACGTGGCTTTCCCCCTTTTACCCCCATAAACCCCGTTTTTAATCATTTTCGTTTATATTTTAATCCGTTTATCACTTTATTAACCGATTTGAGGCGTTTTCAACGCGTTTTGATGGGGTTTTACCTCGGTTTAGGCCCCTTTTGACCTCCGTTAACTTAGGCCCCGTTCTACTCCCTTTTTACCCTCCATAAACCCCCGTTTCCAGGCTTATTTTATGTCGTAATTAACATTTAATCGCCTTAATTCACTTTTAATCCACTTAAATCGCGAATTAAAGCGTTTTTCGCCCTTTTTTACCTCAGTTTTGTCTCTTTTGGGAGTCTTTTTCCCCTTTTCCTGCCATAAAGCCCGTTTTATCCCCTTTATTTCCTATTTTTTTATCCATTTAACGGGACTAAATCGGGTTTCGTTTCGTTCGAATCATTTATATTTCATTTTAAGTTCATTAAATCCGGTTTTTAACCGATTTCTCCCCTTTTTACCCCAATTCCGGGCCGGTTTTGCCTCCCCGCCTTTCAACCCCCTCATTTTTAACTAATTCTCTATAAAATAAAGCAAAATCCCTTTAATTTATCGCGATTAATTCATCGTTTTTCTCCTTTTTGCCTCTTTTTCACCACTTTCACCCCATTTTCGCCCCCTTTTCTAGGAACCCGATGGCTTCGCCCTCGTTCAACGCCGAATTTCGCCGTTTAAACGCTTAAAAAGGTTCAATTTTCGTATTTTAATGCTTTATAAATGCTTAATTTCACTCGGAGGGGGGTGAATTTATTGTATTTACGGGTTTATTACCATTTTATGGCCGTTTTATTGCCCGTTTCTTGCCGTTTTAGCGTCGTTTTATTACCGCGAGGCCGCAACCGGTTCCCCCCCCCCTCCGCTTTTAACCCTTTTATCTGGAATTACTACTTTTTTACGCCGTTTTTAACCGTTTTCGCTGTGTTTTACGGGAAAAACGTTTGGTTTTTGACATAAAGAACGTTTAAGCGAAGATTAAAAGATGAAATCGGGGTTTTTTTAGTGCGTTTTCGGGGAGGAAATGGGGGGAAAAGGGTGAAAATGGGGTAAAAAAGGGCAAGAAAGGGGAAAAGGATTGAAAAATGGGGAGAAAAGGGAGGGGAATTGGGTTAAAAAGAGGAGAAATGGGGTGAAAAAGGGGGGAAAAGGGGAAATTGAAGAGGAAACCCCAGGGATAAAAGGATCAAAGTAAGGGGGGAATTGGGTTTAGAAAGGCAGGAAAAGGGGAAAAGAAAGTTAAAAAGGGGGAATAAAGGGGGAATGGGGGTTTATGGCAGGAAATAAAGGGGGAATGGGGGGAAATAGGAAAATAAAGGGGGAAATGGGAAAATAAATGGAAAAAGAAGGGGGAATAAAAGGGAGAAATGGGAAAATAAAGGGGGAATAAAGCTGGAAATGGGAAAACAAAGGGGAAATTGGAAAATAAAGGGGAAAATGGGAAAAGATGGGGGCAATAAAGGGAGAAAAGGGAAAAGAAAGGGGGAAAAGGAAATAAAAGGGGAAATGGCAAAATAAGGGGGGAAATGGGAAAATAGAGGGGGAATAAAGGTGGAAATGGGGAAATAAAGGTGAAAATGGGAAAATAAACGGGCAATAAACCTGGAAATGGTAAAATAAAAGGGGAATGTGGAAATGTTAAAGGTGGAAATGGGGAAATAAACGGGGAATAAAGCTGGAAATGGGGAAATAAAGGGAGAATAAATGTGGAAATGGTAAAATAAAGGTGGAAATGGGGCAATAACGGGAAAAATGGAAAATAAAGGGGGAATAAAGCTGGATATGGTAAAATAAAGGGGGAAATGGGGAAATAAAGGGGGAATAAAGGTGGAAATGGTAAAATAAAGGGGGAAATGGGGAAATAAAGGGGGAATAAAGGTGGAAATGGTAAAATAAAGGTGGAAATGGGGCAATAACGGGAAAAATGGAAAATAAAGGGGGAATAAAGCTGGATATGGTAAAATAAAGGGGGAATAAATGTGGAAACGGTAAAATAAAGGGGGAAATGGGGAAATAAAGGGGGAATAAAGGTGGAAATGGTAAAATAAAGGGGGAAATGGGGAAATAAAGGGGGAATAAAGGTGGAAATGGTAAAATAAAGGTGGAAATGGGGAAATAAAGGGGAAAATAAAGGGAGAATAAAGCTGGAAACGGTGAAATAAAGGGGAAAATGGGAAAATAAAGGTGGAAATGGGGAAATAACGGAGGAAATGGAAAAATAAAGGAGGAATAAAGCTGGAAAAGGGAAAATAAAGGGGGAATAAATATGGAAATGGTAAAATAAAGGTGAAAATGGGAAAATAAAGGGAGAATAAAGCTGGAAATGGTGAAATAAAGGGGAAAATGGTAAAATAAAGGTGGAAATGGGGAAATAAAGGTGAAAATGGGAAAATAAAGGGAGAATAAAGCTGGAAATGGTGAAATAAAGGGGAAAATGGGAAAATAAAGGGGGAATAAAGGTGGAAATGTGGAAATAACGGGGGAAATGGGAAAATAAAGGGGGAATAAATCTGGAAAAGGGAAAATAAAGGGGGAATAAATGTGGAAATGGTAAAATAAAGGTGGAAATGGGGAAATAAAGGGGAAAAGGGGAAAATAAAGGGAGAATAAAGCTGGAAATGGTGAAATAAAGGGGAAAATGGGAAAATAAAGGTGGAAATGGGGAAATAACGGGGGAAATGGGAAAATAAAGGGGGGATAAATGTGGAAATGGTAAAATAATGGTGGAAATGGGGAAATAACGGGGGAAATGGGAAAATAAAGGGGGGATAAATGTGGAAATGGTAAAATAATGGTGGAAATGGGGAAATAACGGGGGAAATGGGAAATTAAAGGGCGAATAAAGCTGGAAATGGTAAAATAAAGGGGAAATAAATGTGGAAATGGTAAAATAAAGGGGAAGTAAATGTGAAAATGGTAAAACAAAGGTGGAAATGGGGAAATAATGGGGGAAATGGTAAAATAAAGGGGGAATAAAGTTGGAAATGGTGAAATAAAGGGGGAGTAAATGGGGAAATAACGGGGGAAATGGGAAAATAAAGGGAATAAAGATGGAAATGGGGAAATAAAGGTGAAAATGGTAAAATAAAGGGAGAACAAAGCTGGAAATGGTGAAATAAAGGGGAAAATGGGAAAATAAAGGGGGAATAAAGGTGGAAATGGGGAAATAACGGGGGAAATGGGAAAATAAATGGGGAATAAACTTGGAAATGGTAAAATAAAGCTGGAAATGGGGAAATAACGGGGGAAATGGGAAAATAAAGGGGGAAATAAAGCTGGAAACGGGAAAATAAAGGTGGAAATGGGGAAATAAAGGGGAAAATGGTAAAATAAAGGGAGAATAAAGGTGGAAATGGGGAAATAAAGGGGGAATAAAGCAGGAGCTGCCTCCTCCTCGGCGTCCGGCTCTCGACTGAGGGGAGGGGTGGGAGGGGGGCGTGGCCCACGCTGAGTTCCTCTCTCCCCATTGGCTGACGCTCCTTACGCATGCGTAGAGCGCGGCGCCCGCTTCCGGCTGCGCATGCGCGGTGCCGCCAAGCCGCGGCGATGGCAATGGCGGCGGCGGCCGAAGGGCCGGAGGCCGAGGCCGGGCCTGAAGGGGCCGAAGAGGAAGGGGATGGAGACGAAGAGGCCTTAAAGAAGCTGGAGGTGAATGGGGGGGACCCCTTTATGGGGGGGGAGGCGTTTTTGGGGGGTCCCCCCCTTTTAAACCCCCTTTTTCCCCCCTTTTCTATAGGAGCTGGTGTCGGAGCTGCAGCGCTTCCGGGTCTCGTTGACCTCTGACCCTCCGAATGACCCCGAGGTCACGTTGGAGCAAGAGATGGAGCGGACCGTGCGCTTAATGGAGGCCGTGCATGGTACTTGTGGGGGGGCAGCGTCGCTATGGGGCAGCCCCATTGATTCCAATGGGGTCACTGATGGAAAGGGGGGGTTTGGGGTCCTAAGTGTCCCAACAGGCCCGTGGACGAGCCTTGGAGCTGCAGGCTGAGGCCTTAGGGGTCTGCCCCACGGCTGCCCCCCAAGTGGAGCAGGCCCTGAGCCGGGCTGTGAAGCTGGATCCGGGCCTGGCCTCTGCTTGGATCCGCTTGGGAGAGCTCCAATGGGCACGGGGGGACCTGGAGGGAGCCCGGGCCTGCTTCAGGGGGGCCTTGGCGCATGTGAGTGGGGCTGGGGGGGGGTAGAGGGGGGTTCTGTGGGGTGTATAGGGGGTTATATGGGGTGTATAGGGGGTTATAGGGGGATATAAGGGGTTATATGGGGGTTATAGGGTGGTTGGGGGGGATATTGGGGGTTATATGGTGGTTGGGGGGGATATTGGGGGTTATATGGGGTGTATAGGGGGTTATATGGGGGATATAAGGGGTTATATGGGGGATATAAGGGGTTATATGGGGGTTATAGAGGGGTTAGGGGGGATATTGGGGGTTCTATGGGGGTTATATGGTGGTTGGGGGGGATATGGGTGTTTATATGGGGTGTATAGGGGGTTATATGGGGATATAGGGGGTTATATGGGGGATATAAGGGGTTATATGGGGGTTATAGGGTGGTTGGGGGGGATATTGGGGGTTATATGGGGTGTATAGGGGGTTATATGGGGGATATAGGGGGTTATATGGGGGATATAAGGGGTTATATGGGGGTTATAGGGTGGTTGGGGGGGGATATTGGGGGTTATATGGGGTGTATAGGGGGTTATATGGAGGATATAGGGGGTTATATGGCGGTTGGGGGGATATAGGGGGTTGTATTGCAGATATAGGGGGTTATGGGGGTTAAAGGGGGGATATAGGTGGTTATGGGTGCTCTATGGGGGGCTCTATGGGGTTAAAGGGGGGATATAGGGGGTTATGGGGGCCCTATGGCGGGTTATAAGGGGTTAAAGGGGGGATATAGGGGGTTATGGGGGCTCTATGGGGGGCTATATGGGGTTAAAGGGGGGATATAGGGGGTTATGGGTCTCTATGGGGGGCTATATGTGGTTAAAGGGGGGATATAGGGGGTTATGGGTGCTCTATGGGGGGTTATATGGGGTTAAAGGGGGGATATAGGGGGTTATGGGGGCTCTATGGGGGGCTATATGGGGTTAAAGGGGGGATATAGGGGGTTATGGGGTCTCTATGGGGGGCTATATGGGGTTATAGGGGGGATATAGGGGTTATGGGGGCTCTATGGGGGTTATATGGGGTTAAAGGGGGGATATAGGGGGTTATGGGGGTCTATAGGGGGCTATATGGGGTTATAGGGGGATATAGGGGGTTATGGGTCTCTATGCGGGGCTATATGTGGTTAAAGGGGGATATGGGGGTTATGGGGGCTCTATAGGGCTATATGGGGTTATATAGGGGATATAGGGGGTTATGGGGGCTCTATGGGGGGCTATATGGGGTTAAAGGGGGGATATAGGGGGTTATGGGGGCTCTATGGGGGGCTCTATGGGGTTAAAGGGGGGATATAGGGGGTTATGTGGGCTCTATGGGGGGCTCTATGGGGTTAAAGGGGGGATATAGGGGGTTATGTGGGCTCTATGGGGGGCTCTATGGGGTTAAAGGGGGGATATAGGGGGGTTATGGGGCTCCATAGAAGCCAATTGGACCCTATAGAGAGGGTCCATGGCTGCTCATTCCCCCCCCCGCCCATTGACCCCTCCCTCCCTCTAACCCCACCCCTCTCTCCTCCCATTGGCTGCCGCTTTAGCCCCGCCCCCGTGACGTCACGCCGGGGGCGGAGGCCAGGGCCCGCCGCCTCCTGTCCGTGGTGCTGAGGGCCGGCGGTGGGGGAGGGGCCCTAAGGGAGAGCCTGGCCCAGGCCGAGGCCGCCGTGCGCTGCCAGCCCTGCGATGGGGCCTCCTGGTGTGAGCTATGGGGGGCTATGGGGGTCTATGGGGGTCTATGGGGGTCTATGGGGGTCTATGGGGGTCTATGGGGGGTCTATGGGGGTCTATGGGGGGTCTATGGGGGTCTATGGGGGTCTATGGGGGTCTATGGGGGTCTATGGGGTCTATGGGGGTCTATGGGGTCTATGGGGGTCTATGGGGGTCTATGGGGTCTATGGGGTCTATGGGGGTCTATGGGGTCTATGGGGTCTATGGGGTCTATGGGGCTATGGGGTCTATGGGGTATGGGGTCTATGGGGTCTATGGGGGTCTATGGGGTGTCTATGGGGTCTATGGGGCTCTATGGGGGGCTATGGGGGTCTATGGGGGTCTATGGGGGGTCTATGGGGGTCTATGGGGGGTCTATGGGGGTCTATGGGGGTCTATGGGGGTCTATGGGGGTCTATGGGGGGCTATGGGAAGGGGGTGCAGGCAGCGCGCTGCGGCGCGGCCGCTAGGGGGCGGTATAGTGCTGCAGGGGGCGGGGTCAGCTGAGGACACGCCCCCTTCTCTGGTCTATGGGGGTGTAAAGGGGGCACTATGGGGGTCTATGGGGCTCTGTGGGGGTCTCTGGGCTCTCTATGGGGTCTCTATGGGGGTCTGTGGGGATCTGTGGGGCTCTATGGGGCTCTATGGGGGTCTATGGGGGCTCTATGGGGGCTCTGTGGTTTGCTATGGGTTTCTGTGGGGTGTTTATGAGTCTCTGTGGGTCTCTATGGGTCTCTATGGGTCTCTATGGGGTCTCTATGGGTCTCTATGGGTCTCTATGGGGTCTCTATGGGTCTCTATGGGGTCTCTATGGGGCTCTATGGGGTCTCTATGGGTCTCTATGGGTCTCTATGGGTCTCTATGGGGTCTCTATGGGTCTCTATGGGGTCTCTATGGGTCCCTATGGGTCTCTATGGGGTCTCTGTGTGTCTCTATGGGTCTCTATGGGGTCTCTATGTGTCTCTATGGGGTCTCTATGGGTCTCTATGGGTCTCTATGGGGTCTCTATGGGTCTCTATGGGGTCTCTATGGGTCCCTATGGGTCTCTATGGGGTCTCTGTGTGTCTCTATGGATCTCTATGGGGTCTCTATGTGTCTCTATGGGGTCTCTATGGGTCTCTATGGGTCTCTATGGGGTCTCTATGGGTCTCTATGGGGTCTCTATGGGTCCCTATGGGTCTCTATGGGGTCTCTATGGGTCTCTATGGGTCTCTATGGGGTCTCTATGGGTCTCTATGGGTCTCTATGGGGTCTCTATGGGCCTCTATGAGGTCTCTATGGGTCTCTATGGGTCTCTATGGTGTCTCTATGGGTCTCTATGGGTCTCTATGGGTCTCTCTATGGGGTCTCTATGGGTCTCTATGGTTTCCATATGGGTCTCTATGGGGTCTCTATGGGTCTCTATGGGTCTCTATGGGGTCTCTATGGGGTCTCTATGGGGTCTCTATGGGGTCTCTATGGGGTCTCTATGGGGTCTCCATAGGGTCTCTATGGTTTCCATATGGGTCTCTATGGGGTCTCTATGGGTCTCTATAGGGTCTCTATGGGGTCTCTATGGGTCTCTATGGGGTCTCTATGGGGTCTCCATAGGGTCTCTATGGGGTCTCTATGGGTCTCTATGGGGTCTCTATGGTCTCTATGGTCTCTATGGGTCTCTATGGGTCTCTATGGGTCTCTATGGGTTCTCTATGGTCTCTATGGGTCTCTATGGGTCTCTATGGTCTCTATGGGTCTCTATGGGTCTCTATGGTCTCTATGGGTCTCTATGGTCTCTATGGGTCTCTATGGTCTCTATGGGTCTCTATGGTCTCTATGGTCTCTATGGGTCTCTATGGGTCTCTATGGTCTCTATGGGTCTCTATGGGTCTCTATGGTCTCTATGGGTCTCTATGGGTCTCTATGGGTCTCTATGGGTCTCTATGGGGTCTCTATGGGTCCCTATGGTTCTCTGTGTCCCCAGATGTGCTGGGCAATGCCTATGTGTCGCTCTTCTTCGCTGGGGGGCAGAGCCCCGAGGCCGCGCGCCGGGCCCTGGGCGCCTACGCACAGGCCGTATGTGGGGCAGGGGGGGCCCTATGGGGCTGGGGGGGTCCTATGGGGCTGGACAGGTCTCTATGGGGCAGGGCTGTGGGGTTATGATGTCTCTGGTGGGTTCCTCTAATACAGGGCTATGGGGTTTCTGTGGGGCAGAGGGGTTTCTATAGGGAAGGGGGGTTCCTATGGGGTGTTGCTATGGGGCAGGAAGTTCCTATAGGGTGTCTGTGGGGTGGCGCTATGGGGCAGAAGGTGGTTATGGGGCAGGGTGCTCTCCATGGGGGGTCACTGTGGGGCAGGGTGGTCCCTATGGGGTGTTGCTATGGGGCAGAAGGTCTCTATGGGGCAGGGGGGTCCCTATGGGGGTTCGTTACGGGGCAGGTGGGACCCTATGGGGTGTCGCTATGGGGCAGAGGGCTTTCTATGGGGCAGGGGGGTCTCTATGGGGTGTCGCTATGGGGCAGAGAGCTCCCTATGGGGCGTTCCCAGCCAATGGCCCTGCCCCATAGGAGCGCGTGGACCCAGAAGCAGCCAATAACCCGGACCTGCACCTCAACCGCGCCACCGTGAGTCAGCCAACGGGGTGCAGGGGGCGGGGCTTGGGCGTTTGAGACATCCAATAGGGTCCAAGAACCCAGCTTGGAGGCGTGGCTTCCCCAAACCCCTTCCTATTGGCTCATTAACAGCCCATGGGGGGGGGTGGCTATCCATATAAGGCATTCAAAGGGGCGTGGCCACCACAGCAGCCCTCCAATAGGGTCGCTCCTTTAGCTCGGGGGGGGGCTGGCCAACGTGCTGTGGGGCGCCAGCCAATCAGAGTGCAGCCCACGGACGCGGCAGCCAATGGGGAGGCGCTGTTGTATCTGTGCCAGCAGGGGGCGCCATAGTGCGGGTGGTGGCTGGGGGGGGGGGGGAGTTACAGCCAATAGGAG